CGTTTCCATCTTCTCTTTTTCTTCTTTTTTTTTATCCCACTTTCTTACACCAATTTGTTACGTCTCCGTTCGTTAGTTGATTTTCCGTAACTTCGTTCCCACGAAACTTTAGCGACACAAGTCCTTTCTTAATAAAACTGGTTTATTCTTTGTGAATATAACTTTACCGATACACTTATTTTCAACAGTCGTGCTATAACAACGAACGTGCTCAACTACAACAATACTCTCTGACTGCAGTTCAATTATTTTTGAGTATGTGTGAGCTTAATGCCATCTTACACAGGTTTTGAGTAGTGACTTCTTTGAACTCTCTCCTCGGGTCTCCCGCTGGGACAACGGTAAGTTTACGGATTTACATCGCTAAAATCAGGGGGTTCAATTCTCCTCGGTGGACACAGCAGATAGTTCAATATGGCTTTGCTATCAAACACACACACACACACTCTCCTTGGAATTATAAGTTGTATTATTTTTTTATTGTGTTCCTGATTATATTATTCGAAAAATTTACTAGGAATTCGCACAACACTTTGCATGTTTACTCTACTTTTTCAAAATTATTCCCCTAATTTGTGTGATATAACTGGTTTCTTCTAGTGAGAAGAAATTACAACTTTATTCCAGTTTTTAGCAACTTGGTGTAAACGGGCCTTGTAGGTTTTCAAACGACAATTAACCAAGAAAAAAGTACAAGTAATACACACACTCATTGAAACCGCATTACTTTGAGGACTGTATTGGGTTTCGTAATTTTTTTTAAAGTTCTTGATATATCTCTTTAAAGTCGGTTTTACAAAAAGGAGAAGGAATAAAGTTAGGCATATACAAAGTAAATGATCTGTCTGAAGTGATATTTTTTGCCTTTTTATTCTGATTTTATTACAAGAAAGTCAGCCACTAATAACACAGTTGAAAGTATGTTAAAGAAAAAAATCTTATTTCAGGAAAATATATTCCACAAATATAACAAGCAATATCCACAACAGAAATCTTCATCAAAGAACACACTAACATCTTAAAAGGTTATGCTCTGTTATTCTGCCCTCTCAGTGACTCAGCGCTAAGTCTGTAGGCTTACGACGTTAAAGATTGGATTTCGATACTCGTGGTAGGTAGAGTACAGATAGCCCATTGTGTAGCTTTACGCTTAACAACAACTAACCAACCAAGCAATCGACATTTTTAGGTCCAACAATGTTGTTTTTAGAATCAAAATTCTGTCAAAACACATTTTCACTAGGCATGGAAATATTATAGTGACAGGAACTTTTTAAGAGTTCAAGACATTTTACGAGGTAGGCAAGTAGTCAAATTCAAAAATTTTGATCGGGGAAACGGCTTACTACCAGTTTTATAAAATGGTATTGTAAATAAACAGTAGAATTGATTGGTTTTTTAGATTGCACAATATTAATCCGTATTTTTTTATCATCCATTTTTTTATTCAAAGCGTAAAGTGAGAATCCTTCAAAACATTAAATTTTCAATCTAGTTTTTATTTTTACTTTTCATAAGCGATCAAGTCCAGTATCGAAATTGCGCATCGAGAGGAAAAATTTGTTCATTTTTGCCTTTATCTCAGTTATAGTTTGAACATCTGATGTATTTAACATTGGACGATTAGTAATACCATAGACCTACTATGAGTTCTCATGGTTGTGCTCATTTGACAAGTTTCAAGTCAGTCAAAGGAATTCAGTCTTACCGAGTTTTACATGCTTATTTTGTTGCTGGAATTACAGAAGAAGCCCGGAAAAAGAAGGTAAGCGAACACTGTACTAATACTAATATAACTAAGTTATGATCTGATGTCATACTATACTGAGTGATACTAATAAAGATACCAAGCAACTGCCAGTGCTTAACTTTAAGTTTGTTTTTCTATGAACTGTTATTATTGAATTGTTGTTCGTCAGAAATTTTGTTGTATTTGTATGATGAGACAAATATATTACTTTTGTAAAGTATATATATTTTATACAAAATTAATATGATACAGTACGAGCTGAGATTGTTGAAAATATATATATTATTACTCAAAATTCTAATTACTTAGTTTTGAACTTAGAGTTTACACTATCACATGTAAGATTTAATTATATATCAAAATAATACTAACAAACAGTGAGTTGTAACAGTTACTGTATTAGTGCTAAAACGTAGTTGTATTTCATAAACTTTGAGAAGCAAAGATTATTGTCAATTATTAAATCTGGGTAGGTTAACTTTTCTAGTATTAGTATTACTAAGTCAAAACTGTTTATGTATTGTATTTTAAGTAAAGCATGACATACAACTTTCAAGTTATAGAACTAACACCATGATTTTTGTTTTGCTGATAACAGGTTTAGAAACAACCGCTATCTTTAACCTAAAGTTCAAGCATGTGATTAACAAAGAAACTGTAATCCATTTTGTTTTTCTTTTGGATAACAAGTTTTGAAATTAAATACAGTAGGCAGTAGCAGTAGTCTATTTTCAACATAACTATAGATTATTACATGTGGATGTATGTGGTCTGGAAGAAAACAGACAGTACTTTTTAAGAAAATGCTGTTCACCATATCCAGTAATTTTGAATATTAATAGTTACCAATTATATTAGTTGTGCAGGAATTATCTTTGTGAAAGTGTATTTGAGGTAACATTAAACTGTCAGTATTGTTTATAATAGGATGTGATGTGTTCTCATGACCTTCTAAATAGACTTAATTTTAAGCTAGAATAAAAATGAAAAACTTACAAAAAATAATATACTTAAACTCATGATGAATCTATCTGAGATTGCCAAGATATTTATACAAGAAATATGCAAAGTACCATATTTTGATATGACATATTTTAAAGGAAAAACCCCCAAAATCATTAGGTTGAAATAAGTTAGATACACAAACCCAAATTCTTACCAAGCTTTCATACAAAGTTGTTTCTATCCACTGATAAATCTGTATTATATTCTCTTGCATATATGAATGTGAGCCAGTATTCTTCGTGTCACTATTTGCAAGTTATCATGTATACTTCACTTGCATTTTTGATCTGCCACTTTTTTTTTCACATGACAAAATAATTAACAATGAAATGAAACACCACAAGTGTCTAACCCATACAAGTTTCTTATGACTAATTGTCGTATATAACACAACTTAAGGAAATATTACCAGATCACTAGTTGGGTGAAAGGGCTTGAATCCAGGGTGATTAAAAGGTGATTGATATGTTGTAATATTTATTAAAAAACAAAAATTCCTTAAACCAATGGAAAGTATAAGTAATTCTGAATATTTATTGGCATATTGAAGTCAGGATATATGAACATTTTTATTATAAAATACTGGATTTAGTTCTGTCTCCATTTTGAAGATCAATAATGTTTTAGGCTTGAAATTCTACTTGGATATAACTTGAGTTATAAGTTTATTTTGAAATTGTGTTAATCAAAGCAAAAAATATTTTAAATATTTGTGGCCTAGACATATTCACAGATGTTTTATTGAACTTTCAAATTATTTTATTTTTGTTTAAAAGTAATATTTTTTGGTGGTGAAATGTTTTCAGCCTTTTATAATCATCAAAGATTTTGGTGTGAATTTTAAAAAGCACTAAAACTTATGTGAAAGATACACAAGTTTTAATTTTTTTGTTGTAGTTTTTTTTTTCACCTTTAACCCTTGTTCTTTTAGGCCCAGACTTGTTTTTGTCACACTTGTCATCACACCTTTCGGTTACATGCCTGTCTGTACTGTGTATATTTTGGTTGCTATGATGGAAAACATATTCGTGAACATGCCCTTAATAAAAGACATTACCTAGGTCAGTATTTTTGGAAAGAAATTTGGTTTCACTTTTGTATAATGGTTGTTAAAAAAGAATATGTGCATATAATAAATAAGTAAAATTGTGTCCGAGAGTCAGTAAAACATTTTTAATGTAGTAGCTTGACAAGTAAGTTATTGTTGCAAAATTTAAATGTGTGGTTCAATTTTTGAAAGAACATCATAATTTGTAAGTTGTTGTGTCAGATGAATTATATTGATATACTTTTTAACATGTAAAGTATAAAAGTTTTGAATAATTACAAATTATCTGTAGTTTTATGTTCAACATGTCATGAATGATGATTGTTTGATGCAATTATTATAAATTTTATTTAAGTAATTTACAAATCAGATTTTAGGGTAAGGATTAAAACACAAGATTATTTATTTGTTTTTTTAATTTTAACACCAATTACTTATTTATATAATCATTTTATTTTAATTAAGTTTACTCTCGGTTGGAAGAACTGGTCAACCAGTGAGCTAGTCTTTTCTTGTTCCTTCAGAGGGTAAACAGACTTGAATAATATAGTACCTCAGTGGTGAGCAATACCAATATTTTACTGTATGATACCAGTACCAATTCTAGTATCACAATACTCAATACTATTGCAACATCACCAGAAAAGAAATATAAAAAGAAGAACAGTAATAAATAAACACTAGGAATTCCTGTTATTTGTAATACTTTTATTCATGTGTATCTTTTGCGGCATATTTTATTGTGACAAATCATAAAATGTTTTAAACAAAACATATGAAGAAGTATATGTGTACATTACACGTGACACAATAGCAATAATATATTAAAAGTTGAAATGTGCCTTTTGTTTTCTAAGCTGTAAAGAACCTTTTGCTCAAATATACAGTAACTGACAAAGGTGCATTTAAATTGCACATTTTATAGTTGGGAAAAGTTCAAAATAATTGTTATAATACACTCAAATATATAGAAGTAAATAATGTGTATATCTGTTTTAATTAGATGCTTGTTCAATGCTGTAAGGTTGTATGTCAGCAAGTTCTTCATGACCGTGAAGTACTTGAAAATGCTAGTAGCCTTCTGTAATAAATGCAAAGTTTCAATTAGTTGCTGGTCTCCAATAAGTGCCATGAACTTCTAATAAATACTTTAAATATTAAATGAATACTGGAGGCATTAAAAAGTTTTATGGTATATGTGTGTGTCTGTCTGAAAATTGCTAGTGTTTTGTGTGTGTGTGTATGCGTGTGTGTGATTGGGTCATGAAGGAATTGAAAAGGGGAAAATGTGAGTCTTTGTGTGATATCTGTGTGAGAAAAGGGCAGCAATGTGTAAGACTTCTTGTTTGTGTTTGCTTGAACCAAACTGTGCTTTTGTTGCACTACTGTTGTTTAAGCATGTTAGTCTGAATAGAAATGCTGTTCGCCTCCTTGCGTTATTCCCGAAACCTGCAAATGCTATATGTGTTATTGTACCTTGTGTTATTTCCGGAACCTGCCAACACCATATGTATTGTCTTTCGTTATTTTATTCCCGAAACCTGCAAATGCTATATGTGTTATTGTACCATGTTATTGTACCATGTACCATGTTATATCAGGAACCTGCAAACACCATATGTATTGTCTTTCGTTGTTTTATTCCCGAAACCTGCAAACACTGTATGTGTTG